TCCTGCCTCAGCCTCCCTAGCTGCTGGGATTACAGGCATGTGCCACTGCACAGAGCCACAATGCATACATTTTTGACTTCCAAGAATTTTTTTAATCCTTTTATTCATCTTTTCTTATTATTTTATAGTCTATTCTTGCTTCAAGGATATCAATATCTTATTCTGTCTCCATGGGAATATTAAATATAATATTTGGAAGTTTTCTTCTGTTCCCTGATTTATCTCTAACTTCTTGGGCTTCCTTTCACAAGCTCATTTTCTTCCTGATTTTGCTTTGTTTGATTGTTCTTCCATATTAGAGACTCTTCTCCTTGTTTGTCTTTTCATATTTAAATACAAAACACCAGAACAACCTCCTGGAAAATTTCATATGTCTACCAGGGGCAGAGATTGGTGACAAATGGATTTACCCAAATGCAATATATGCAGGTTTTTTTCCTTAGATTTGTTTAGTTTCTTCAAAGAACACTCACTATCAAACCTCAGTGCCTCCCAATGGGGGCTGAGGTTGTGATATGCATGCTGCTAAGGAAGGGAGCTGATAGTTCCAGAAGCTAATAAAGGGGTTGTAGCTGAATCTCCCCAGGCCTCTGCTTTACTTGGTGTGTATACTTTTGGAAATTTTTTGATTTATTTTTTTCTAAAAAATTAGTCTTCAGCTTCCTGCAACAGTCGGGGACAGGTTGAATGGGAGAGAACAGTTACCAATGGAAGTGGGATTAGGGACCGGGAATCCACACAGTCTACCATGACATCAGCTCACTCTCTGCTGTGCCTGAGTCTGCAGGGTGCTAAGTCTCTCAAGGCCTTGCTTGCCTTGCTCTTCTTTGGTGTCATTCTCTGGAGGCCTCTGGGTCCGTGCCATTAGGCCCACTGTTTCTGGCCCTGTTGTCTCCCCTCTTGTTGAGTTTATCATTTAAGGTTACATATATATTCCTGTCATTTTAAGTGAGAATGCAAATCAAATGTATGTGGGCAATCTGTCATTTTTATACAGACATTCTAAGACTTTAAAAAGGACATAAACTCAAATCTGTCAGGAAACCTACAGATCTTGAAAGTCAACCTCAACGTTTTATAAAAGAAAAGAAAGCCCAGAAAAATGAGTTCCTTGCCACAGCGAACCATGGTCATGGGGTCTTTCTCTGGGTGGCAGGAGAGGCTGCTATTTTTGTACCCTCAAGCCAGGCTGCCCAATTTTGCAAGTCAGTCTCATTCTCAATGCATGCTGTGATCTTGGGATGGTTTCTTAAACTTTCTGTGACTTGCTTTCCTCCCATGTAAAACAAGAATAATAACAACTTTCAAACTCATTAATTTACAGTGTTCACTAATGAATTAATATTTATAAAACACTTAAAATAGTACTTTCATAGAGTTAACCCATATTCTTGTTATTAGTTTGTATATGTAACTAAACTTTAACAAATCTATAAATAGTACTATTGTACTAGAAAGAGCTTCATTTAAGAAATATAGGAGGAGCTGGGGTTGTGGTTCAGTGGTAGAGTGGCTAGATCCTCAGAACCACATAATGTAAAATAAAGATATTGTGTCCACCTAAAACCAAAATATAAATGTTTATAAAAAAGACATACAGGAGATAATTTATTCTAGTCGGTTTGTTCTGCTTGTAAAACAGTCAAACAATACAGTTGGTTTGCAAAGAAAAATGACTATCCTTGGAAAAAATCTACATTCATTCATCCATTTGATATATTTTAAAATATTTTCAATAAAAGAAATAAACATTGAGTTACATAATCGTTTCCACAATAAATGTATTCTTTAAACTTATAAAATTATGGATACCTTCAAGAGTGCCACCTAAAAGCATCTAAAATGTTAAATATAGTTTTGCAGGTCCAAATTGATCTGCACTAAAAGTGAGTGGGTTTTTATTTAAATATAGGAATAAAACTAGGATATTTTTCTTTCACAGTTAAGTCTTGCCTTGCCTACAACACAACAGGTATAAGTGATTTAAAGAAATAAATAAAAGCATGTAGGAAAAAAAAGGCAATAAAGACTACAAGTGATTTCCCTGTATGGTATGGTTCTGAAATTGATGGAATAAGTGATTGTTAAGAAGCGATTTTCACC